ATGATGATTGTTTTACTTGTCTTGTCAACATTTGCACGTATCATCGTTCGGTTCGCTTGAATGATCGTTCTGACAATTTTGCACGAGAGAAATTCATGATGCATGCCTGTAGTATGGTATCCTATCGTGTATTATATATATATATACACTATATGGGATTTTTAAAATAGGATCCCCCTTTGAAACAAGTATTTTATCAATTGTTTCTAATTTCAATATATTTTTTTTTAGTTTCAATCTTCTTTATATATATAAATTACGTGTCACGTTGTTTGTCCGCAATGGACTCGTAAACTACTGAACCGATTTTAATCAAATTTTCCACGCTGTGTGCAGTTTCATCCAACTTGAAAGATAGGATAGTTTATATCATTCTAACAGATGGCGGTATAAGGTAATTCGTTGACTTAAAGACGTGTGTATTGGACTGATTGGTGAGCCACAGCAACGCGTGGCGAGACACCCCTAGTTTTATTATATTTTTTTGTTTGGTTATTTATATATTGACTTTATTATTATTATTTTTTAAAAACTTTAATATTTATTTTATTTTCAATTAACATATTTCCCTTCTTTCCCTTTTTCTAATTTTTATTATTTTACAAAATTGTTTTCGTATATATTATTATACTCATTTATTATTCATTAACTTTGTAACGAGTATTATCATTGAATTAATTTATTGGTTCTTTAGTATCTAAAAGGGTAAAAAAAAAAAAAAAATACAAATTAAAATGATAGGGTTAAAAATTGTGACAAAAATAAATTGTCCTAACTAAGAGAAACGTTCTAACTAACATAAGTATATTACATTATTTTCTTGTATAATATATTTAGTTTATAGAAAGAGGAATCTGTCGAGATCATCATGATTTTCTCAGCTCAATGAACGTCATAGTAATCGTATCATATACTATATATATATATATAGTTATCTTCTTGACTTTTGGCCATGACATTTGAAAAGAAATTGTTTCGAGATAGTCTCCGAGAACTTCCGTTGTGTACTTTGTGAAAAGTGTCTTGTTTCTCTTTCCTACTTTCTTTCTCTTTCTCTTTCTCTTTCTTTTACTTTCTTTTCCTGTCCGTCTATCCATCCGTTTGTCCATTTAACTCTATCTCTATCTTTATCCATATCTCTATTTCTTTCTAATTTTTTTTTTATTTTTTTTTTATTTTTATTTTTATTTTTATTTTTTTGCAGACGTTATTTCCGACGTGAACCTTTTCTTTTCTTTTCTTTTCTTTTCTTTTCTTTTCGGTGACGCGTATAATAAAACTGTTAGATAAAAATCTCATAAATTTAACGTCCAACCCTTCCGTATCCGTACCTTTTCCTACCTTCCAACCTTCCTACCTTCTTCGTACCTTCGTATTTTTGCAGACGAGTGTTTCTTTTCTTATTTTTATTTACCATTGAATACTTTTGTTGAAAGTAAACAAATTTATTCTATACGTTTTTAATTTTATTTTTTTCTAAATTAATTAAATAATTCATGTGCGTACCTTTTACAAACATCAAACATTTATTTATTTATTTATTTATTTATTAATTTTTTGCAATTTGTATTTAAGTTTCTAAACTTTATTAAGATCTCTAGATAATATGGAAAGAGAGAGACAGAGAGAGAGAGAGAATGTGTGCTTATCATGATAATAAGGTTGAAAAGAGAAAGAAAACTACTTTGAAACAAGTCGAGAAAATATGGAATGAAGAAAAGGTGAGGGTGAGGGTGAGGGTGAGGGAAAGTCAGAGGGGAGAAACGGAAGATGCATATTGAAGTTAAAAGAGGAAACTGAGAAATAAAGATGACTGGTAATATGAACGAAACGAGAAAAATAAAATATAAAAATGTATGAAATAAAGAAAGAAGAAATGCATGTGTGTGCAAGTGTATATATACATATCTTATCTTATATCTTAATATATATAAATTACGTGTTATACGTTGTTTGTCCGCAATGTATTCCTAAACTACTGAACCGATTTTAATCAAATTTTGCACACTGTGTGCAGTTTCATCCAACTTGAAAGATAGGATAGTTTATATCTCAATTTATAATCGCAATATTATTTGTTTATTAACAAAGAGTTATGATTATCTCTGTTAGTTCGATAAGATTCTAACAGATGGTGGGATAAGTTAATTCGTTGATTTAAAGACGTGTGTATCAGACTGATTATGAGCCACAGCAACGTGTGACGGTCCACTCCTAGTATATATATAAATAGATAGATAAATAAATAGAAAAAAGTTAAAGTCTCATAGAAATGAAAGAAGAAATGAACAAATGGGAGAAGGTTCCAGGTTTGTGGGTCGAGTTAAAGTAAAGGGGATGAAAAGAAGGCTTGGAAAACGTGGAAAGTGGAAAAGTGCAATTGTGCAGTGGGTGAAAATGAGAACTGGTCTCGGGGGGTGATTGTGGTAAACCCTTATTTTTAACAATTGACTGCTTTCAACAATTGTTCAAAATTCTTTACGAAAAATGAACAAAATTATTGACTTTTATAAAAGTCCAAAGTCAATTTTTGTATTCTCAATGGTATGGTAAAGAAAAAAAAATGTATGTTGAAAAATGTGACGAATGGATGATGCCATGAATGCATTCATGCACACAGATGTATGTCTCTGTGTGTGTGTGTATTTGTGAGAAAGGAAAAAAAGATAATAAAAAGAAAATAGGTTACATCTACACGTGGCTTTTGCATAGTCGAGTATTTGCACACATACATACACACACACACACTCACATATACAACTGAACTCAACACGCGCTCCTTTGGGTATATAATAAATAAATATATATATATAGTTATCTTTCTATGTGTTTATTACACGTTTATTTGTAGTAGTGTTTAATGTTTCATCTATCTCTTTCTATTGCACTTATCTCGAAGAAAATGACCGTGGTTGGTAAAAGTCGAAATAAGTTTTTTCAATGGCCAACTAAGATGTTAAAGATCTTTGAGCGTGCTGAAAATGTGACGAATGATGTTGTCCGTTGTTGTTGTTGTTGTTGTTTGTTGTTGTATATGTATATAGATGTGTACATATGTGTACTACTAYTACGTTGACATGTGGAATAGGTAAAAAAGAAAGGAAAGATTAGAACGAGAAAATAGGTTACATCTACACGTGGCTTTTGCAAACTCTCGAGTATTTGCATTCTTACAAACACACATACTCACATATATATATATATGTATATACATAGGACAAATGTCTTTCTTTCTTTCTTTCTTTCTTTCTGTTTATTACATGTTTGTTTCTCCGTTCTTCTTCAATATAAAAGTTCAGTGTTCTATTTATCTTTTTCTATCTGTCATTCTCGTGTTTCTGGTCTTATCGATTTAGTAGACAACTCGTAAAGCCCATTGGCTTGTCGTGTCGTGTCGTGTCGTGTCGTCCACAACGACCTTTTCACTTTATCGGTTACGAATTATTTTTTTTTTTGCTTTTTTTATTTCCCCCCCCTTCATTGCAACCTCCTTCCTTCCAATTGTGAGAGAATGAATTGTATATTACGTGTGTGTGATGGGTGTAGGTGTGTAAGTTTTTTTTTTTTGCTATACGTGTACGCGTATGTTTGAAAAACATGATTAAATGAAACAAGAAAATTAGTAATCTTTATGACAGTACTTTTCCGACGTAATATTTATTCTAGAATTTCATAGTTAGACAATAAAAAATATTTTTCTTTCAACGGACTAATAAAAAGAGACTAACACATACAAAATCAGAGAGAAAGGGAGAGAGAGAGAGAGAGAGAGATGGATGACAAATCTTTGAGGAGTTCTCCTTTTTGAAAAAACAATTGTATAGAATATTTTTGATATAGAAAATGTATATAGGAGATATTTAAAGAGATGATTTTTATTTGTTTTTTTTATTAAAAACATATTTTTTCTTTTATATATACAGCACGTGCATATATATATATATATATATATATATATATATATATATATAGCTAAACGTTTGTAAATAAAGTTGGAAAAAAAGCAAGTGTAAAATCTCGAAGAAGATTTTAATTAATTATTTATAAAATAAATTAAATAAATAATAATTAATTTATTTATATATATATATAATATTAATGAAATAAATAAATTAATTAATTAAAGTCTGAGACACAACCCTAATTAATTAACCACAACCATCCTTTGCAAGGAATTCTTCAAACACGTAAAGATAGTTTAACAGATAGAAATGTTTAATTCAATTTATTATCTTATTTCTAGGATATAGAGAAGAGAGAGTGAGAAGACAGGGTTATATCTTCGTTTTATTTTTTGTTTTTCTTCACGCACGTGTATTTCATCCTGTTCGCTCGTTAACCTTTAGTTAAAGGTTATCCTCGTAAGCGTTAACATCGTTGCTCACGAAAATACTTGAACTGGGGGCGTTGATGATTTATGTTTGGTAATACACATATTCCCTGTTTCATATTAATTATTTGGAATTTTCATATGTTGCTGCAGTACTCCTCCATATAATTATAAACACCCTTTTCATTAATATATTAAATATATATATATACAGTATGTGAAAATATTTAAGGATTTAAGATTCAAATTAAAATTTGGAAATATTAGGTGGTTTGGAAAGTCGTTTCGTTTTTTTGTTTTTTTGTAAAAATGAAGGGATAATGTTTGCTTCGAGTTTAAACCTAAACCTTTTCAAGTGGTCATAAATAGTTTTGATAAATTTAAGCTCTCTAAGATCGATCTCATGTGTTATACTATTTGTCGGTTTGCATCAACTAATGCCATTATTGTGTCAGCAAAAAAGTGAAACGACTTTTCGAATCCACCTGATAATTTATTTGTAACATCTTGTACAAAAGATCAATGTATGATTATTTATATATTTAATTATTATAATATAATATTTTATTATATAATTTATTTATTTATTTTCTTTCTTCTTTTCTATCATTTTGAACAATGTCGAAGGATTTCTAATTAATTTTGATATTTTTTTTTCTTTTGGTTACAGACGAATCGTTGTTCAAGCAACCCCCGTGCAACATCATGCCGAACCAAACGAAATTATTCGAATTAAGAAAAAAGAAGACAAATTTAAATCGTCCAATCGTTAATGGATAACAAAATTCATTAACTTTCGATTAAAATAATATATTTAATAATATTGTAAAACTATAAGAAATTATTGACAAGAATTTTATTACTTGACTATGCTGACATCGAACTAACATCGATCAACCAAACAGAAGAATAAAAAGAAGAAGAAAAATAAATGAATTATTAAAAAAAGATTGTTTAAAATTAAGATAATCATTGGATGATCAGAAAATCGACGTTTGAGGGTGATTGTTCATTCTTCATTCTTCGATCGAGATGAAGCTGAACGATAATGTGACAATGGAGGGTAAGTTTTTTTTTTTAAATTTAACCCTTAAAGTGCACACTTGGGGTGTTTGACATTCCAACAAATTGTGGATCTCTCGAAAACGACAGTACTGAATTCGAAAAAATGGGTTATTTGTCTAGTGTTGCCATCTAGTGTTAATTCAGATAGGTATAAAACCAATTTTATTTAAAAAAAGATGTATCAAAGTACTTTGAAAAAAATTGCGAGGTGTCTAAATATTAAATGGTGGATTCAGGAGATGCGTTCAAAAACGTTGGGAGTGTCAAACACCCACAGTGGTGCACTTTAACTAACTTTTACCAAGTGGTAAACCTTTAAGGGTTAATACAAATTAAAAAAAAATATAAGAAATATATAAATAAATAATTGTTTAAATCATCGAATGTAAAATGAACGAATTGTTAAGCTTATTTTGTCATCTATTCGAGTTCTTTCTTTAGTTGATTTATTTCAAACCATAGGAATGCGTTTTACGTGTTTGCTACCACCACATCAAAACGTATTATATATATATATATTTTTTTCTATCTCTCTTATATTTTTTTTTTTCTTCTTTTCATAACATCGCGTGATTGGTTTACTCGTTGAGATTATTCGTAAAAGAATTTGATTTTTTTATAAGCAACAAATATAGAAAGATTTTTACTACTACTACTACTACTACTACTACTACTACTACTACTACTACTACACAAGTAATTTGATTTATTGTAAGAAGTTTTTTTTTCTTGTATTTTTTTTTTTTAAATATTCCGAACAAGAAAAGATATTCAAATTATCGTGATCGATATATATATATTTGAAGAATCTACATTTTTTTGTTATTTTAAGTTAATTTTTTATCTTTTCTTTTCGTTTCGTTTCGTTTCGTTTGGTTTGGTTTGGTTTGGTTTCGTTTCGTTTCGTTTCGTTTCTATCTCTCGTTTTCTCTTTTATTTTTGTATTTTATTTTATTTTATTTTACTCTCAACTTTGCACTCTTCTTTCCTCTTTCCAAACTTTATTCTTTTTCATTTCTTTTTTTTCTTTTTTTTTTTTATTGAATCAGCATGCAAAGGAGAAACTTTGAAATTCTTCTTGTTAGGGAAATTAGTTAGAACCTTTAAAGATTAGTTTTTTTTTTTTTTCTTTTTTTTGGATGAAAACCACAAATGCATTTTCTTTTTCTATCACATATTACTCTTTTTATCGGTAAAAGGATAAATCGCAAAACGTTGTGGTTTTGTCGGTGATCAAGTGTAGAAATTTGGAACAAACGATTTTCTTTCAAAACATACGTCAATTTATTTAGTTCTTTTTTTTTTTCTTTTGCTTTACGATTGTACCTTTTTTGGGTCATGCTGCACGAGTTTAAAGGAAAACTTTTCCTTTCTATCTGATTTACATGATCGGTATAAGCTTGCACTCGCATATGTTTGAGAGAAAATTCAAAGTTGTTATCGAACTAATCGAAGTCCGAAGCGTTAGTTCCGAAGTTAATCATTTAAAGAACACCCTATATATACTTCACCCCCCCCAACCCCGTCCCCCGTCCCCCTCCCTTCTTCCCCCTCCACCTCCCCTCCCCACAAGGAACCCTCTTCTTCCTTCCTTTAAACTACCTAATGTGAAAGTTTCCTTTTAGATAGGTCCTGTCGAAACGTGCTTAAACTCCTTGACGTGGTATAAACGTCCCCTTAAATCTTTATTGATCTTTCTCATTTAATATATATATATGTATTCCCCATTTATACTATGACTTTATTCCATTTTCTAATCGCTCATCTCGACCTCGAACCATTTCCTTCCAAAGGAATTTCTAAAGGAAAGTAAAGACAGACTGTGTGAGATGATAAAGGATCTTTTACGTAAAGTTATATTACAAATATTTTTCCTCTAAATTTATTACTAGCTTTTTTTTTTCTAATAAAACTATTTTACGTAATTAAAATATTTTCAGTTTTTTTTTGTTTTTTTAATATAATTTTAGTAATAAAAGTTAGGATTAATGAATTAAATAAATTTTGAAATGAAATATTAATGATTTTTAAAGTTATTGTGTTCTTTAAAAAAAAAAAAAAGGTTTTATGGTAATTATTATATTTAATTATATTAATATAATTATATAATTTTAATTTATTTAATTTATTTAATTAAAATATATTATATTAATCATATGGTAATTGTGATATACAAAATAAATATATTTATATATAATAAATATAATTATTATATTTATTAATAATTAATATATAATTCATAGGAAATATTTTTCTATCCAAGTGTTTCAATGTTTTCAAAATTATCCTTGAACATTAAATTAAAATATTTGCAGTTTTTTTTTTTTTTTTTTTTACAATTTTGTTAACTAAACTTAAAATCATCGTATTTTTTTTTTATTTTTTTTTTTTATTAATTATTATACTGTAATTATAATAGAAAATATTTTTTATTCATGTTTCTCAATGTTAACAATTAGTCTTCAAATCAAAATTCTTATGCATATGATAATTATATAATATTAAATCGTAACTATTTGACAAATGACAGAGATATGTTGTAAGATTGGATCATAGTGTTTTTACAATTAGAATTTCGTTGTCCTTGAGAACAAGAGAAAGGCTTTAAATAACGCGTTCGAATGATACAACGATGGCCCTCGACCTAATTTCCACTTGAGTTCACCAACCTTTTTATTTTTGGTCACGTATGCATGTAATCCACGAATCAGAGAAGAAATACGAAAAGAATGAGAAAAAAAAACAAACAAACACACACACACACACACATACATACATAAACACAAAAAGAAGAACCAGTCAGATTGATTTTTGTCTCGTATCGATCTTGTCTAAAATTATCGCGAGTGTAGAAAAAAACAACTAAGAAAAAAGAACAAGAAGAAGAAGAAGAAAATGAAAATGAAAAAGAAGAAAAAAAATATAATTAATAAAATTGCGTGTGACACGCGTGTGTATTAAGAAAAAAAAAAAAAAATTGTCATAAAGTTCGCTAATAAATTCGTCAAAAAATAATTAAATAAACATTGGAAATATTTTTTTTATTATTTGTGTTAGGTTTATTTATTATTTATTAATTATTTATTAGTCACGTGGCAACGAATGATATTTTGTTGTTAATTTCAAGATGATTCATTTTATAAGGATCATTATTACGACGAGATAAATTCATGAATAATTATTTACCAAGCACATGCTTTCTTTTTTTTTCTTTTCAATTTTTCTTTTTTTTCAATCTTTCAAGAAGTTGTTTAGAAACTTGTTTAAAGATACTTAGTTGTTCAAGGATTGTTTTTTTATTAAATAAATTAAAATAGAACAAAAAAAAAGAAAATAAAACAAGAAAGTAACGATCAAAAAATAATATAAAAGTAAAATCAATTGTGCGAGTAATAATTTTTTTTTTTTTCACTAAAGGGCGTGGGTTGGGGTGGTTTACTTTCCCTTGTAAAGAAAATGAACATTTTCATTAGTGTAATAAAAAAAAAACGGTATCGTTAACAAGTATTCGATGAAATTTTAGAAGAAGAAGAAGAAGAAGAAGAAGAAGAAGTTGATACTGTTATGAGGGGTAAAGAGAGAGATAGAGAGAGAGAGAGTGAGAGAGTGAGTGAGATATAAGAAATACATTAATTATAAGTAACGTGAGAACGATGTCTCGGATTATCGAATCGTTATCATAAGAAATCGATATGTAATTTGAGTGAAAGTGTAAGAGGGAAAGGATCTCTTCTCATTATCCCTGTTCTCTCTCTCTCTCTCTCTCTCTCTCTCTCTCTTCTTCTCTCTTTCGATCTATCTCTATTTTCATGTAATGGAACAAGTCGAGTATATAGAAATTTATCGGGAAATTGTTCGTTTCCTCTTCGTATAGGAATTACGTATCATTATAGCGAATCATTTAAAGCGACGGGTTTAATAAAAAACTACTATATATATATATATATATATATATATATATATGTATTATATTCTGTGTGTGTAATACATTTATATTATATAATGTATATAACTATTTATTTAATTTATAATATATTTAATTTTTTTTTTTTTTAATTAAAAAATTTGTATATAAATATATTATATTAAAATATTTTATATATTATAATATTACATAAATATTATAAAATATTTTAATATTATCAAAATTATTAATATTNTATATATATATATATGTATAAACATTTTATTTTATTTTTATTTATTTTTTTTTTCGTATATAAAAACGAAACATCGAAATTCATTCGTATTTCATTGGTCAATGTAATATCATTGATACATTCGTATTGTATTTAACCCTTTCCTACCCATCCCTTATCCCATATTGTATCAACGTTATTACATTCGGTTTATGGTTTATGGAAGCATTATGAATAGTGTTCTATGTCCCTTTCTGTTTCCATTTCTCATTCTTATTCGATGAATGTCAGGTACGATCAACGATAATAGAGAAAGCAACCCACCCACACCCAACCCACACCCCATCTCACCCTAACTATTCCATGCATCGTTGCACTTTCCATCCTTGTAATAATGATAATAGTTTAACGGAATTTCTACGCGTTATTCGAGGATCCTTTTCATTCATGATTTCAAAGTTACGATGATGTTTATCTTAGTGTGCTAGGATAACAGCATACGTGAGAGAATCATATGTTATGTTAATACATTCAACACACACACATATCTTATTACACAAACTATTGTTTGCTTTAATATTACGAATAAAAAAGATGATTGCTTCTAACGAATCGAATACACACACACACACACACACACACACAAACTAAAACAAAATGATAATTTATGTGAAATTAGAATGAAATGTATTTTTAAAAGTGTATGATTACCTGAGTATTACTATCTCTTTCTCTCATTAAATATGATTAGATTGTACATGTAATAGAAATGTTACTTGTAGAAGGGGGAGAAGGAGGAGGAGGAGGAGGAGGAGGAGGAGAAGGGTAGAAAATGCTCTCGTTTATTTTTGCACAGGGC